CTCGACAAACGTGCGTGGCTGGTTAATTGTAAGGGGAGCGGGTGAATCGAAGTGCAGCAGTGCACAGAGGAGAAGAGAGGGAGGGTGGAATGGAGAGAGAGGGGGGGGGGGGAGGAGACCCTGCCTGCAGCTAGCCCAGCTAGCCGCATGGTTAACGCTCGGCCGAGCGCTGCGCACCGCGCTGCGTTGCCCTGCGGAGCGCCTGTGGCCGGACGAGTAGGCCACCGGCTGCGCGGGTCTGTCGGCCGGGTCTGCCTACCCCCGGGCCTGCGGGGGCTAATGGGCCGGTCTCATGCTCCCAGCAGCCCAGCCCTACGGCCCGGCTGCGCTGGCTGTGAGATTAAAGCTCGCCAGGCGGGGATGGCTTTACCTAATCAGTCGTCATTCGTCCGTCCGTCCGTCCGTCCATCATCAGTCCGTCTGTCCGACCACAATGCTGTCCGTGCAGCCTCAAAGCCCTTTTGTTCGCAAAGTTCTGATCGATCCCCTTCTGCAGCAGCGGCTACTAACTATTCCATGGGGTTTGTGGCTTTTGTCACTCTGAACATGCATCGGTCCGTTTATTCTCTTCCGTGTCATACTGCGCGGTGCACGATATGGCTGCGGCCAGAGAGGCGCATATCCGCGACCTCCCCGGCGACCTCCCTCTCCCGGCAGGCCTAAAGCCTCAAGCGGCCTCGAGCGGCCTGGAGGGTCGTGCCTGGAGGGTCGTGCCTGGAGGGTTGTGCCTGGAGGGCCGTGCCTGGAGGGTCGTACCTGGAGGCGTGCCTGGATGGTCGTGTCTGGAGGGTTGTACCTGAAGGGTCGTGCCTGCAGGCGTGCCTGAAGGGTTGGGCCTGGAGGGTCGTGCCTGGAGGGTCGTGTATGGAGGGTTGTACCTGGAGGGTCGTGCCTGGAGGCGTACCTGGAGGGTTGTACCTGGAGGGTCGTGCCTGGAGGCGTACCTGAAGGGTTGGGCCTGGAGGGTCGTGCCTGGAGGGGTGGGCGGGCGGCGCTGGCGTCCCTGATTGAGCATTGAGCCGGAGGGACCGGTGGGCCACGTGCCGGCTGGGGTGATAATTACAGGAGGCTCCAGGCACGGAGCGCCCGGGGCCGAGGGATGCTGCTGGAGTGCTGCCTGTACCCTGCACCCTCTCCTGGAGTCCACGTGCCTGAAACACCTCTCACCCTCCCGCCCTTTCTTCTCAACCAGCTGCCGGTGCTCGACGCGTTTCTCAATTTCCGACGAAATTTTCCTTTTACGCTCAGTGATGTGGAACGGGAACCAAGAGCAGTTGGATGGCGCAAGACTTTCCCCCCCACCCCTTCCC